GTTCGATTTCAACAGAATCGACCACCGGTCCACCAGCTGGTACTCATCATCACACAACTCATTCGTCGTTGGGACCACATGCGGTATCAAGCGACTCAACGGAACGTCCCGCTACACACGGTTCGATTTCAACAGAATCGACCACCGGTCCACCAGCTGGTACTCATCATCATACATCAGAAATGTCAAACGAGATGACTCAATTGACACGTTCTTCTCCCCCACCTTCAATGTTTCTGACTGAAACGTTTACTGGGGGCACTCCAGCCACTGGTCTCAATAACCCTTCTCTCTTTGGCTCCAGTGAGGCGGCGACGGCGGAATTACAATCATTTCCGTCGGTCGTAACGATTCACGGTAATGTTACTGCGTTGAACAACACCTGGGTCAGTTCAAATAGAACAACCGCTACCACCACACAATCCACCACCACTACCTCTACTACCAAGGTAACAACAATGCGGACTGTAACTACAACAACGACTACTCCGAGCAACATGACCACGGTTGCTAGAACTTTCGTGAAATGTAAGCAATGAATTTGCAGGGGCCGTTTTCTTACCGCATTGATTATTGTTGTGAATGACTTTGAATGAATCGATTCTATGACCTACATGTAATCAGTCCTACAGAACACATGATGAGAAGACAAAATTGGCAAAGAAGCTCGTTTTCAGTGCATCTTAATGATGACAGGAAAACATTTACATATGACTATATACCGATGACCAGTCACATATGGGGCTTTACGAAGGAATGGAAAGTAGCTGAAATATTGAACATTTTGCAACATATTGGGTTCCAACTGTGCATGTGTGATCAGAATTCATTACGAGTCAGTTATAATTTGTTAGGATACTATATGACGTGTCACTTGTCAGGAATCCGACCGTTGAAGCTTGTGTGCTTGCATACATTGCTTTGGAGCACATAAATGAGGGTTACAGAGACGGATGCTGACTGAATCCACTCTTTACTTTTGATGATCTCCTAAATGTGTGAAATTTCTTCATTCAGCATGGATACCCAGAGCGTCTGGTGGAATCTTTGATGTAAAGACACGAGGCTTTTCCGAGAGATTACGCACAGAGTGGTATCAGTTGCCATCAACAAAACGTTCTACATAACCAGGCTCCAGACCCGATTCACATCTGGCTCCTTAGTGTATCTGCGGTTGACGGATAGAACGTCCAATTCTGCTCCCTCCTTCTGTGTTCACTCTCCCATTTTCTCCTGTGGGGTAAAGTATGGTGGTATAATGACCAGGCACCTGTCCGAGCGCATCCGTGAAAGTCACCCTACGTGGTTGAGTAATTGGTGGAGTAATTAGGTCAATCACAAGTGCCATTGTGTCTCACCTTGTTGACACTATTCACAACTTAAACGTCGCTGAAGCGTTTCGACCCATGTGCGGGACGGTCCACAGCGGAGGCAGTCAGCATCCCTCTGCTCAAGCCTCCTTTTAGCGCTCCAAAGCANCATACTCCCGCGCCGGATTGAGATAAAATGAAAGCCAGCACGCACTGGGTATCATGTTACGTAAAGGTAAAGTTCATCGTGAAGCGATGGATTAAAAAGCGATCAGTTTTTAAAGTTTTCAAATATTTCGAAACATATTGATTTATCCTTTACTTTAATTATCAAAAGATCTGTTTGCAATATTGAAGCAATAGGTGCTGCGGAATTCATTTCGATAGGTTTACACAACATTGCCCAACCAATAGATGTTCTTATTTTCTGAAGGTGTGTGTTTACCCGAAAATATTTTTTTGTCGATGATTAGATCCTTATGGCGGAGTGTAAATTGAATAACAAACAAGAGTATTGCGTAAAATATTCATGAACCTGCGGCTTCACCCTTTAAACAGTGACTTGGTGTACTTAAGATAAAGGCAATTCATTTGGTAACTGGATAGTACTTCCGCTAACGCAAAAATTGCTTGTATAGCACGCAAGTGTGACGGCAGATTTAAATGGCTTATTTGGTGACATATTTAAGCTTTCGGAAAGTTTTGCTCCGGGGCAGTTGCTGATTTCTCTGCTTTTTGGTTTTTGCCTTGCAATATCCAAGGATGTAATCTGAAATCTGACTAGTTCCGACAACGATGAAGGATATAGACTTTGGAAATCAAGGAGTGTTCTATGTATATTTGACATGCTTGGAGATTTATTGTTTGGGAGACAAACATCGTCAATTAAAGCGAGTGCTCAAATAGCGTGGTCATGCGGTAGACAGATCTTCCTAACAATTCATTCGGTCAGCAATTGTTGTTCACAGCCTTCTTATTAGACAAATCGTTATAGGCGTATTCCATAGAACGGTCAAGCGGTCACTTTCAATAGATAGCCTGCAGTTTTCAACAGCCACATTTTGTGCCACGTACTGTTCCAAACCGCATTTCCAACGAATAGAACAAGAAAAAGACATCTGGTCTCCAGAGTTAACGAGTATTAGGAAATAACTGACATATCAATATGGTAAAAATGAAGGCTTTTTAACAGTATTGTATGGAGTCATGAAAATAAAAAGACCAATTTATCAATGTTGAATTGCGGTCAGCGTATCCTAGTAGAATATGCACAAAACGTGAAGTTTATGCTGTTGTGGAACTAACACTCTTGTCGGACATGAGTTCGAGTATCGGTGTTTGGAGTCAAAGAAATGTGAAGTAAAAGCTAATTTTGCCCCTGTCCATTCTCGGGCTTGGTTTAAAGCAACCAGTAGTAATGTTACGCGTTTCGGATGCCGGACACACCGGAATTGATGGTACTAGGTCACTCACGCTTAAACTCCAAAGTAAAATATTAGGTTGCGAACACACTTCCTCCAGCTGCCCATGGACATTTGACGCTTATGCCCCAGTTGTTGAACTTATTTGTCATGTACAATGCGTGGCATAAATGATAGTCCGAATTTGGGTTCATCGTATCTATCAAATCACTAACTTGATTAGATAGATTGGTCGTGTGAATAAGGTGTGAGCTGAAAGCTATTAAGCACTGGAGAGCCGTTTCGGACTGCTTGAGTGTCATCAGCACGGGTCATCCTTCGGAAAACTGATAATATCAAATGAAATCCTTCAATAATTCCGCATACAAAACTACTCGTTAGTAGCATTTTATGATGAAGTCCGTCATTCTTATGCGCCAGCCGCCTTTGCACACCGAAAACATTCCTCACATCCTGTCGATTTTCTCGCTTGTATCATATACCATAGAAGAGGTAGCATGGTCTAATTCGAGCGAAATCATTCAACGCCTCATCAACATCCGCTTCATACGCAACATGTTTGCAACAAGCCAACCGAAACTAACACTAGGCTGACAGCAGCGATCAACTCCAATGAATCGGACAAATTGTAATTTAGACCTCGTTTCCTAATATCTCATGACATGTGATGCGTTAAATATATTTTCCGCTTATCACCTCAAACGAGAAAAAACATAAGCCTCTGAGAGAGATTGAAAGCTTAGCTACGTAGGAGCGCAGATTTCGGTGAAAAGCAAACTACGATTGACCTTTTATTGCAGATTCCCATTCTACGCCCTTTCTTTTTAGCATAGTGCACATTGAAATCTGCTCCCAATCGGCGAACAACTGAATGCAGTGGGAGAATAAATTGTAGGCTCAGCTCCTTGATAAGCACAACGATAAACGGATCAGAGTACATTCCACCAGTTGTAGTATAAAGCGATAATAATCAAACTTTGTTCATTTCTATCCTTTGAGAATCTGGAGGTAGAGGACTTCTAAAGTATAGATAATGTTCAAGTTTTTATAAGGAAGCCACCGGAAATTTATCGGTACATACTTGCATCTGAGGCGTAGACAACATAATTGGGTCAATACAAAAACCCGCGTGTATTTTATATCCGGTTCACCCCTAATCGATACCGGTGCAGACGGGAAAAAGTACAAGAAAGCGCTAATAGACAAGCAAAATGGTAGATATTTAGGATGGCACCAGAATTATCGAAATTTCGCTAAGTGATATTCATGTTCCCCAAGAATTGTGGTGATGGCTTGACAAAACACCACATTATCAGGATATTTAAGGAGAAAAGTTGCAGCGTGCTCAGACAAGTAGCTATTATACGTGAAAAATGTGTCTCGATAAGGGATTTTATCTAAGAGTACCCCGGATTTTGAACTTCAGGCAATTTAGCCATGTGCATTGATGTTTCAAAGATAATTAATCAGTGAGCCAGGTTAAGAAGTATTTGGGACAACCCAATGTTTCCAGACCGGGATGTTGGAAAGAAACAGCGAATGGTATACTCGTCTACTGAGTGGTTTATAATGCACATTGCACTGATTTTTCAAAGTCATACATGAACTCGAGGATTTTTTGAACTGAGAAAACTATCTAGGGCAAACCTATTAGTTTTCTGGAAAAGTCAACGAAATAATATGGGATGTCAAGACATTTCGGGAAGCTCATAAAGATAACAAACTCTGCTAATTTAGGATGCATACCTTTGGTCAATGAACACATCTTCATGTCCAAAGCTATCACTGATTGGTTTCAGCAACGGAACGTTCGATAAGAAACCGTTCTGATTCTTTTCTGACTGGCCTGCTCATTTGAACTGAATACTAAGGCCATTATCTATAACACATTGGATAAAAATCACATGTGATGGTCCTCCCTTTGCTGTGTTACTAGGACATTAGCATAATTAACAATCTCTAATAACTGTTGAACTACAACACTTATTCACTTGACAACGGTATTTTTGTCATGTTGTGATGATCCCTATGAGAATTGCGTTCATCATTACAATATACTTTTAAAACGGTGCTGTTCTGTGACAAACGCATCCCTAACCGTAGACCCACCTTATTTATAGTCAGGTTCAGTTCAAATCACACTGACGAGTGCAACATCTCACTGTTCATGTGTTCGACCCGATTGGGTGTCCTAACCGCGTATAGGATTCGATCAATCAATTTTTGATGCATGAAATTGGGTTTGCAAGATCTTGACAAAAATTACCTTGGCAATGAACAGCTCGGCGTCTCCGTCTGCTGCACTATACGTTGACTCTGGCGTTACCCCTTCACCTCACTCCAAAGACCACCGCACGTTGTACTTTTCTACCTCGTAGTCCCTTACTGACTCACAAAGTACTTTTATTTTATTTTCGCAGTAAATTATCCATGCCTATGGTCATTAGGAGTTGATCGAGCATATGGATGAGCTTATTTGACATCGCATGTGAAGACCGTGGACTGAATTTTAATGGTTATAACGGCGATCAGATGGTGGTTTTGTGTGCGTGTGACCGAGCGATATGTGGAGACGCGGAGCTCAGATCAGTGTTGAGGTCATTATTATCGAGGTTCCGCTAATCAAAATCCTCGTATCAAAATGTGATTGACCAGATAAAATGCGCCGTTAGGATACCTAATATGGTGCTCGCAATGAAAAAGTTGTATGTTGCACTTGTACAGATGAAATCAACTGAAACTGGGCAGAAGGAATAACTTGTGTCAGATAAGACGGGCATCCCTCATTCTTGCACCTGGTTCTTCACACAGCTTGCTTAGTCTTTGAGATGATGGAATTGGTTTTGTTGAGAACAGAAGGCCTCAGCACACAACAGGCGTATGATGAATTGCATCGTAGACATCTGTAGTGTCCAAAACCGACGAAAAAGTTCTGTTTATTCAAAGACTTAGTGTATGGTAGCGATCAGGTGCGTTAGGGCATGAGACACATATGTATCGGAAAAGGATGTATGGTTCCTTTTATAGAGTACGATCATCCAATCCTTTTTAAGACCAACATGATCGACTGACCGAATGTTACTTAATCTTTTCGTATGATTATTAGTGTTCATGGTCAACTAAGCTACTTAGCAATAGCAGCTGAAAGTAATTGCTACCGCATGAATAGTTAGGCGATCGTGTTATACACAATCCGATTATTACTGGCATTACGACATAAAATATATTACTGTCAGGTGAACCAGTGCGGTAGTTCGACAATTGTTAGACGAACATGATCACCTTATTAGTTTCGTCAAGATCCCAAACAGTCGACAAAATAGAAAATGTGGTCAATAGGGAATTATACTGCAGGTATATTGAAACCAGAAAGAATGTGCTCTAAGGGATTTTCATAGGATGCAAAAGTGAGATCAGACTGCTTGCTTAAAGAATGTCTTTTAGCTGAACGAAGTAACAGAAAAGGTTTCACCAAGATGGATACCAAAATAAATAGTTTGAAAAGCATATTAAGGTACAAAAACCGGTCAAACATTGACAAACTCCTTCAGTTTGAATATGAATGAGCTTTTGTTCCTTTTACTAATAATTGTATCACGATGCTATCAAACGAAAATTTTGACAAGTTGAGTATCGCTCTTGACTGATAAAAATGAACACCCTAAGACACCCGTGGACAACAGATCTGCTGTGTGAATGACGGTGCTGAAGTGGCGCCAATCATAAATAGTTGATATTGGGAGATCATACTCGATTTCGATATATGTTACTTGCTCCAAGTGTTAGATACTCACATGGCTTTTGGGTTCTCCCAAATAAACAGCTATTGACAAAGTTTGATTATTATCGCTTTATACTACAACTGGTGGAATGTACTCTGATCCGTTTATCGTTGTGCTTATCAAGGAGCTGAGCCTACAATTTATTCTCCCACTGCATTCAGTTGTTCGCCGATTGGGAGCAGATTTCAATGTGCACTATGCTAAAAAGAAAGGGCGTAGAATGGGAATCTGCAATAAAAGGTCAATCGTAGTTTGCTTTTCACCGAAATCTGCGCTCCTACGTAGCTAAGCTTTCAATCTCTCTCAGAGGCTTATGTTTTTTCTCGTTTGAGGTGATAAGCGGAAAATATATTTAACGCATCACATGTCATGAGATATTAGGAAACGAGGTCTAAATTACAATTTGTCCGATTCATTGGAGTTGATCGCTGCTGTCAGCCTAGTGTTAGTTTCGGTTGGCTTGTTGCAAACATGTTGCGTATGAAGCAGTTCTTTATGCGAGCAAATTGAACTCTTCATTCACGGTTGAGTATTTCTCGTATTGTTATTTTTTACTCATTTTAAACAAATGTTTCTTTCGTTCAATGGGAGCACATATTTTAACTAGTATCTTACAATTGAATATGTCAGTATTGATTTCTCGGTTCAGGAGCAAGTTCGAGACATGGACCCTCAGCATTTGATGATCGTTTGGCAGATTAGATGCATCAATTATATTTCTAGTTCAGTTGGTTTGGGTGACTCGCCAGATCCCTTCGTTGGTGTTTTTTGGCCATAACTCAATAATCCCTTTTCCGAGGAACTTCATGACTTTTGTAGTGTTTATTCGGATTCTTCGAAGTGCTTTTTGAAAGTCAAGTGGCAATTATTGGGATTTTATAGGGGTACTACACTGCCTCACGTCAACCCCACGGACGTAAATTCCTGACCAAAAGATTATTAGATTTTCCGAAATAAATAAAGAAAGCTCATTTTGAAATTTTTCCTTGGGAAGGTTGTGCTTGATCGGTTCAGATTTTCAAGTGCTTGAAAGTCGATATTTCGAAAGTTTGTCGTAAAGTCTAAAGTGGTAAAGGGAAAACAGTGAAACAGAGAACAATCTGTGCCAATCAGTTTATTTGTTCACTTCGGAAAAGAGATCCGATTTAATTCTGAGAGTGTCACCATAGACTATTGCGATAATCTTGAACGCAAGTCTTTCTTTCACTTATATTGCATGTTTCCTGTCGGTGGGATTTCCACTACCCTCGCACACTCTCATTCTGCTCTTGCCTCGTTGCCCAGACACGGCGCAATATAAAGTTATCACAAAAATAGCTGCCACGTGGGATAATGATTTGGAAGATTCCTCGAGTGATAAATTCAAAGCCTTGAGCACGAAGTTGTGTGATCTGGTGAGTTAATCCACGTTTGCTGATGTCATGACCATCTGTGATTTTCACTCTCGCCGAATTTCGGCCATATCCTTCCATTATTTGCTACTGAGACTGGCATAAATCAGTAAACAGTTATTGAGTGTCTTGCAATTGTGGACTATAATTCTAATGTTTTAGGTGAAATGGTTTTCCTGGTATAAGCTATGCAATTCTCATGAAATAAACCGTGCAATATTTCTATTGCTAATCATGTTGTAATTCGTGCAACGGTCGCATTTCCCAAGTTATTCTACTATACCCTTTTACTTTGAACTTTGAAGGTTTGATTGAATGTCAAGCCGAAAACTTACTGAAGTATCACCAAAGAACTTTAATGAACTTAAGTGGAACACTAAATAGTTCCGTGCAACTGTAGTACTCGGACTGGGAGTCAAAATCGAATAGCACGAACTCGGAATCGGACTGAAAACCCACTGCAAAATCAGGTAAAACCAAGACAAGCTGTGGATACAGTTAATTATATTTCGAAAATCATGCAACTATATATCACAAGAATCAAACAATCATTGGTCGATTCTTTAATGTCCAATCGACAAGGATATGGTTTATTTATTTGCCTTCTTGCATTGACGCAATCCGGTTGGTGTCAATTGAGCCCACACGATTGGTCGGTTATTCCGTTTATTGATTGGTTGCCTGGAAGCTGTACCTTGGTGCCTGCGTACTCGTTACAGGATCACCACAAAAACGTTGTAAAAGAGGGAAGGGTTAGTAAGAGGCTTTTGAGTTAAGAGAAAATCGATGCTAGGTAGGGTGCCTTTCTGCTCCTCCGATTTGGAGCGATTCAGAACACTTGCTGTAATCGCCGTTTTCAATCAAACCGAGACCAAGAGAACACTTCAAATTTAGAGTACCTGTAATCTCAATGAAAACTAAACTCAGCAATCATCTTGCGAGCTTTTAAAAGATCTCTTTGGTTACGTTCACCTTTAGGATGTTGATCAGTTTATTAGTGTTACCGAGATCTGCATTTTCTCCTGTTGTCGTGGTAGTCTGACATTCAACCTTTTTCTGATGGTGAAAACGTGGCGTTTTACAGTTTACTAAAATGAAATTACAGAAATTGAGAACAAGGTTTATAACTGATTGCTCAGTGATACTCTTGACAGGGACCTCACAATCACTGGTTAAAGAAGTGTTACAAGAGCTTTATTCGTGAGGTCTTTTTAAATTAATATCTCAGAAAAGCAATAGACGAAGTCATTGAGGTCAAATTGAAAGCAATTCCCATTCTTGTAAATGTTATACATAGCATTTAGACTTTCAATCCAGTTAGGTCATTTTATTCTGTGAATTTTCACATAAAGGATTTCGCATTTAGACCACATGTAGCATACATTTAAAAAGCTCTGAAGCCCCGTACCTCACGCACCTCAACACGCCTCTGGGGTAATGCCTCGGTTGGAAACATTCCAACCTGACTTCTGGTTACATTAAATGGTGGATCTTGTCTTATATAAATCTAGTGAATCGTTAATCTAGGAAGGTAGAGCAATTAATATGCTTGGGTTCTACCTGGTCCTGGGTTAGATACCCAACTCGGTCGATGGATTCTCACTGTTGAAGAGACCAAAACAGGACGAGACAGTTACATTTTGCTTCTCGGCTATTCACTGGACGATTGATTTATTCTATACACGACGAAGTCAACTGTGTAATTGAATCAAACCTTCCAACCATCAGCACACAAATTGTTTGGCTTGTACGAATGGCTCACTCAAAACTGTGTGCGACCATAGTTTGGAGAAGCGCTCAAAATGTCAGGAGAACCGTAACCCAAATGACGATGATTTTGGTTTATGTTGTGACTTTAATAACGAGTAAATCATGATGAAATTTAGATCGGACAGGTATAAAAACATTTGCAGTAGTGCATTGCCGCTAAAAATTAACAAAAATGAAATAATATTCAGAGTAGGATACGAAAATCCCAAATGAATTTAATCACATCACGATTAACCAGGCATAAGAACAAAATTCTCAAAGTCCGGTAGGTGGAACAAGATGTTTTTCGATGAATTCATCAACTGATCATTAAAATTATGTAGGATTATTTAGGTTCATCTATCTGGTTTTGATAGCATCAAACTACAAGCAGAGAGTATGCTAAGATTATTTACATGATTTTTATTCTGGTTAAGTCACTGGTGCGTTCTCCGGGAGTGGGTCGGGCTTTTTCATCCGAGGCCCTGGTAAGGCCTAAGCCCGAACGAATGGCTTTTGGTCATATAGGGGTGCATTCAGTTACTGGACTCTATTGAGTGCCAATGCGAATTCATATCAGATAACCAACTGGAAATCGGAATACCACTTTCCTGTACGAGCGTTCTCTTCGATGCTTTTTGGCATCCATGATCGAATCTACCAACGACGGACGGAGTCGCAATGGGATCTCCGCTTAGACCATCGTCGGAGGATATATTCTTGGGGAAACTGGAGAGCACAATCTTACAGGGTGCCGTGTACAATTCCAGTGTGTACTGTCGATACGTGGACGCTATATTTTCATAACAAATTATACAAGCAACGTTGAGTCTGTGCTGGAGGCATTCAACGCAAGCCACAACTTAATCAAATTCACCATCGAGAAAGAGAACAATGATCTAATCCGGAACCTGGATGAAACTATTCAGAGAGGAATGTGAAGAAAACGAACAGGGATGGGGAATTTTGTGCATTTCAATAACCTCGTGTCATTTAAACAAAAGATAAATCTAGTGCAACGCCTCACTATTTGGGCTCTCCCAACGCCGTAGCAGAGGAACTTGAACAAATTAAAAACTTCGCGAGAAGGTCTACCCGGATAGCTTCATAGATAAACATATAGCACCAAGATGCCGCACTACCGGTAGCGCGCACGACCAACGGGAAACCACTACTTGCAACTACCATTAAAACGTGATTACACTGCTGCGCACCTTACACGACGGATGAATCAAGCGTTGAGTTAAACATTCACAACACCTGAACTGCGAATGAATTTCACTGCGTCCTCAGCAATACGGCTCCACTTCAAAGATAAGCAGTCCACCTCAAGTGGCATCCGTGTGCCTTTACGCGTTCACTTGCTCCTGTGGATCGAGGCACATCGGCCGAACTACAAGGCAGATATCAAAGAGGATATGAGAACACCGCATCCGCTGGTTGAGATACGGTGAAACTAGGACGGCGAAAAGCGCTGTCTGTAAACACAAACTGAGCACACGGCACACTGTTTAAGTTGATCAGGTCTTTCGCATCCGTTATCACACGCCATCATCTCCGTCAAAACTTCGGTTTATCATTTTATGCACAGCCGAGGTGATAGCCAAACAAACATTGAATGCACCCCTATATGACCAAAAGCCATTCGTTCGGGCTTAGGCCTTACCAGGGCCTCGGATGAAAAAGCCCGACCCACTCCCGGAGAACGCACCAGTGACTTAACCAGAATAAAAATCATGTAAATAATCTTAGCATACTCTCTGCTTGTAGTTTGATGCTATCAAAACCAGATAGATGAACCTAAATAATCCTACATAATTTTAATGATCAGTTGATGAATTCATCGAAAAACATCTTGTTCCGCCTACCGGACTTTGTTTTCAACGGGCCTCCTCCAGTTACTGAAAATTAATAAAGCCCTCACCACGAACACGTTTCTCTTGGTTGCTCAATTACGATCAAGGCGATGAATCCGTGTTGATTCTTCCCGCAATTTGCACAATGTAAAATTTGTGACAGACTGACCCAGTTTACCCGGTTTATATTTTTTGTAGTCAACTTCAAAGAATGTCAAGCGTAGAAAGTGTAAAGTGCAGTATATTATGGAGTCTGATGGGTTACATAAACTTCTTTACAATTTCGTACCTTTATGTTGCGGAAAACAGAGGTGTACTGTACAGGGATAAAGAACGAGTTAGAGAGGAGTAGTATTTCCGTAGCATTTCAGCCACCAGGTGCACTTGCTACAAAGGTCAGATCAATGTTAGCTTCAAATGGCCAAATTTATCGGTTTTACACAATTCTATCGTTATTGATTCTCCTTGCAGGTACTTTCACTCTTGAAACTAGGGAATAACAAGGCTCTAATGGCACCCACGTGTGAAGTAACTTCATTCTTCCAAACAACTGCACGCCGAAAACGTGAAATCAACCGAGATAAACGTCAAGCCAGTACTGGTGTGTCGGGGAACACGAAGCTCTCGTTCACGGACGTCAGTGCGGCAGCAACGGATGCAACTGCCTTAGATACGGCGCTAACCACCGGATACACTCAACTCCCACCTGAGAAGCAATCCCAGTTAGCGGGTGATTTTCAGGTTGCTCGTAAGTAAAGCATATAATAATATTTTAAATCGGTAAATATTCCGTCCGATGCATGAGTACACCAATATTACTCGAGGGAATTTCTGTTAGAGGTTTTGCATGAAGAATTCGCATATAAAGGTTCATGGAAGAGTAGGAGCTTTTAACAGGTCTGCTCGAAAAGATTTTAGACTCACCTTGTTAACAGTAATTAAATTTTGTGAGTGGTTCACGTAAAAATCCGAGGTAGGATAAACGACCAAATCGATTACCTATGCGGACACACTCTTATTCATGAAGGAAGAAAAATGAATGAGAACGCAAGCGCACGACGATAGGTGAATTGTTTAAGGTAAATGCTGGGATCAACAGAAATGCGAATGGCTTTGAACCGAACAGTTAAAAGTTCCAAAAAAGAAAAGGAGGTGCATTCCCAGTTATTGATACAACACTCCATAATGGTACGCATTCAGCCCTTGTAAGGGTTCGGAAGTTGAGAGAAAGTGAAAATCCTCTCTGGCCTATATCGGCCTAGAAACAGGCAATGCAGATAAATTGGTCAAACTGAAAATTGGGGGAATAGGGTTTACGATTACCGGATACTCATATACACTGGATCTTACCAGTACCCAACGATCTGAGTCCCCGTAAAGTGATAACATATTGGGTTAAGGTAGAGGGACTTAGAAGTAGATAGTCGATCATGAATGTTGCCGATATAAGCAGTATGGGAATCGGTGTAAGAAAGAAAACCATGAACAGTGACACTGTCGTAAAACCCACGGATAGAATTATGAGTTTTGGTTGGAAGTTTATCGATGAAGAGAACGAAGAGGGTAGAAGATATCATCGAACTTTGAGGGTCAATGTAGTTCACTAAAATTGCTTTTAAAATGAACCCATTTATCTGAACCGAGATCGAATAATTACAAAGAAGACGTTGTATCCAGGTTTTGAAGTGCGGAGAGGAATCGGTTCCGCAAAACTCCGTCGAACGAAATGAAGATACAAATGTGAGGTAGGTATGCCCACTGGTCTCCGGTGGGTGTGGTTGTTGTTGAGGAGTTCACAGTGTTCCAACTGACGAATGTTTTTGTAGTTAGTGATTCCAAGATCTAAGAGACGCCCAAATCAGGGGAGTAGATGGGGGAGATCACTGCTAAGATCACAGGATGTACCTCACTTAAGTAAGGGAAAACAAGGACCAGTTAGGAAACACCCTATGAAAGCTTTAGGGCGAAGCAAAAACAGGGGCTATGAGCATGTTCTATCAAGGGAGTCTTGAACACTATTGGTGTTTTTTGAAGGCCACTTGATCCAGGTGGCTTAGATGTCTCGGGTAAACGCTGTACTCGGTGAATAATTCTGCCTGGGAAGATGGCGCTTACCTAATGAAGCGAGAGCTTTGAATATATGTACGGTAGAGCTTGAGGAAAAAGGGATGTGTTTGCCTCCGATTTCCGGGAGGGATAGTATTATCATTGATACTCTTTTCACACACGTCTGAGGCCAGACGGTGTGTCTAACAAATCACGATACAATATAAACAGAAAAAGCAGCTTCATGATTTACATATGGGCGGAATATTGCCAGGTCTCCCAGTCCATGGCAGGTGAAGTTTCTTACGGAATTCACAACCAGAGTCTTCGACTAGTCAAAGATTGACCCGCAAGCCAGCGGGGCGTTATGTGAAAACCGCGTTCCATTGAAGGGCGGTGCCCAGTTTACCGGATCATATGCCGGTAACCACTGCCACAACCGGGAAGTTGTGTGTGTGGTTCATATGCCTATTGGCTGGATCAGGGTTAAACTGCCATTGGTTCACCAACCTGGTTATAACCCTGGATAACTGGGACGGATCGAAGACAGAAAGGCTAGAAAAGTTCTCAACAGGGGCCAAGAACTGGGGGAAAATATAAGAGTAACTGCTTTAGCAAGTGATCAGAATGAATGACTAACTGAAGGATTATTGGCGAGTCTATCAGCTTTAGGACGAGCGAATTTGTATTTTGCTTCCTGGATGATCGTTGAGCAATTTTTCTGGGCTCGTGTGTAACACTAATGAAAGGAAATGTTTTGGAAGAAATCCCAATCCGTTGGAAAATTTTATTTGTCGTATCCATAGTGCAAAAACAAGTATCCGTAAACTGTTTAGGGAATTTTTGGTTCTCATGTTTAGAAAAGTATGGAATAAACCCCTACAGACGGATCACAGGGAAAGCTCAGCGAAGCCAAGGATAAGATATCGTAAAATCACGGAAACCTTTATATTCGACCAAATTGTAACACCAGAATGTGTGGTGAGAAGGAAATGTGTGTACGATTGAGTTTGCACATTCAAGGTAAAATATCAGAGTGCAATGGGCTAATACGAAAAGATGACGATAGATCCGAGAGAAGAGAGGCACTGCATGCTGATAACAAGACAACGATGTGGGCGCCCTCCTCTGCATTATTGGGGACACGGTTACATAAGGTGATCAATAATGATAGTGCGTTTATGACATAAAACGCGTTCACCTCATGACATTTGGCTGTGAATGTCGATGAGTGTGGTAACCAGGCTCTGTTGTGAACGTTGAAAGCACCTTTGACGACGATCTGGGCATTTCGGTTTGACTGCGAAATATTTGCAATACAGCGAAAGAAGATCAAACTGAAAAATCAGAATTTGAAGACAGAACACAAAATCCTAGGTTACACGATCTGTGCCAAGATAGATTTAGCTGCATCTCAACTGGTGCAATACGGCAGAAATTTACAGTTTATGTCACTGAGCAATACAAGAGGTTACATATGAATGCCGCAGAGCCGAGTCATCACATTATCACTACCACTATCCATGCGTACCCACTCCACCCGCAAAGCAAGCCTTGCCAGTGTCCGTCAAATCACACGTCGTTTACCAGTTTGAATGTGGATGTGGAGCACCTTACATTGGAAATACAGACAGGCTGTTGCATCCACGGCTCCAAGAGCATACCCGATGTTTGGTTAGACGCCTACTGAGCAAATCACATGATCTCCAATTGGACCCCTCAAAACCACACACACTCATCGCCCACCACTAACACACTAAATATCAATACACATTACCAACGTCCACCTTTACCCAAAGGCAGAACACACAAACAGCGTGCAGCATCTATCGCTCGACATCTGTTGGTGGTGAATCATGGCCCGGTTCCG